TGGAAACTTACCAGTTGTTGGAGAGACAACACAGACTTTCTGAAGACATCAGCCCCAACTACGGAGTGTTCTCGTAATCTACTCACTGCTGTGGGATTCTGCCAGCTGTTTAGAGGAAAATGATGACGGCACTCCAACACCACAGCGTTAATTTCTTGCTTTGCCCCGGTCTTTCCATATCCTGTCCCTCCTCTTCTTCACCCCTCTTCTCTTCCGTCTTTCTGTCTATCCTCATAATACATTTACTGTGCCTATACAGTGTAGGCAGCTTTGTAAGTCAGGGTATCCAGAACCCCACAGAACTGGCCTGTGATCTATGGTCAGGGACTGCAGCACAGACAGAATTCCATGCAAAAAAGAATTCGGTTTAAAACAAAAGAATTTGGTTTAATAACAAAAAATGTTTAATGAATCCTGAGAACTAGAATATAGAGCTGAATGACATAAAGAAAAGGAAGCATATTCCTATTGCACACCATACCGAATTCAAACAAAGAATTTAGATTATGCACCTAATAATTGTCCCCTCCACCTAGTAACTAGCTTTCCATAGACTAAAACAAAAATGCTCAAGCCTAAAACACAGGAAAAACATGCATAAAAATGTAAGAAAAGCATGAGTGCCAAAGTGCCCATGTTGCCCAAGAGCTTGTTGCAAAGCTCAAGCTTTTATTGTAAGATCACATCAAAATGCAACATTTATAGATCTGTCCAGGACCCCTCATTATTACCAACCTGATCAAAGGATCATGTGTGGCCCCGAAATGTGTTTATATGTGTTCCTACAACAAAAATGTCTACGTTTTCTAGGTTTTATACAGCTGCTGCAGCACATTACCTATGGTGAATGTAGTGTTGGCTTTAATCAGTATAGGTATCACTAATGCAGATGTTGCATTCCCTTCCCAACAGAGGCAGATGTGTATGTTGCATCTAATGTCCAAGTTTCCAAACGGTCATTGTTTGCATGACAGCCACTTTTCTGCCTTATTGAGAAAGGGACTTGTCATGTGGACAGTTTTGTAAAGCTAGCCATACACATTAAGATCTCTCTTGTTCAGTCCCGTGGGTATGAGCAAGAGAAGCCATTAAAATCCCCCTTCCACACTAAAAAACAAGGATGGACGATTTTGCAGTGGCAGCTATTGCACTCTGACAGCCGGCACCCGCAGCTGTCAGAATACCCAAACAATGCCTGCATCTGATTGGATGTAATAATTGTTCAGACAAAAATTTTTCTGCTCAAAGCCTTCATCAAAAATAGACTGTAAAATCTACTTTTGCCGAGTCAGGTGATGCCGACAGGTCAACACTGGAAGGACCTGCAGGAATCGGACACATTTCAGTCCCATGTATAGCCAGCTTTATACCAACTACAATCACATACATGACACATCTGCTTATATGTGTCCCTCTGGGGAGATTTCCCCATCACTTCTTGTCTTGGAGGCACAAAAGGATTTGAAAGGAAATCTCTCCAAAGTGAACAGAATTCTTTGAGAGTTTTTACAGATACAGATGTAACTTGTGGACTGAACTGAAATCTCAAACAATGTTATGAGCTTTCTCAGCTATATTCTTTGAACTACAAAGCAACATCCCTCCATGTTTTGGAGCATGAGCAAAAAGGGGACAACAACATTGCTCCTCCACAGATGGAATGCAGTGAGTGAGCATTGTCAGCCTAGTACAGAAAAGGCTGAATTCACAATGCTATTGGGTAAACCTAGTTATGTTCAAAAAGGGACAGTTATTTTTAGCTGAGCCCAATGGGATTTGTAAATTACAGTCACATTGCCAAAATAAAGATACTTATCCTTTCGTTTAAGAATTGAGCCTAAAGGCTGGTACACAAAGGCTGAGTATCGTCTGGTATCGCTGGTTCAACAGAAATCGGCTGACATTCGGCCCATGTGTACAGTAGCCTGTCCGACAGAAGCTGGCCTAATGATTGGCTTTTATTGAAAGAGCATGCTGGAAAACCAGCATCCGATCAACGCCCGCACCCAATAGCTGTGAGTGCGAATCAGAGTTTTCTGGCGGGGGGCAGTCCCCCGTCATCAGCTCAGTGGGGAATATCAATGCACTAACTTTGCTTAGTTAGTATGGCAACCTCTCAGTTTTCTTTTTTTGCTCAACCCGCTGGGTTGAACGGAAATGAAAAAAAGCTCCCTGTGTGTACCAGGCATTGTGTGTTACAGGCAAGGTCACCAATTGAAGATCAAGGAAGAAAGCTTAAATAAATGTCAACTAAGGCAGTGATTACATTGATAATTTTTCGTTCAACTAGCGGTTTGAATGAAAAAAAACAAAAGAGATATGATTCCCCCCACCCACACTTTTAAGGTGGCTGGGGGAATCCTTTCACTGTTATATTGTATGCTAACAGCAGAGACTTCCCTGCCATCACAATACAATGATCAGTGTTGCTGGCTATAGCTGGCAACACTGATTGATCAGGAAAAGCTCATCAGGCTGGTTGTACACAAGTCAATTGAAATTCATGGTTCCTGCTGAACTGGCCAATTTTGATCCATGTATGGGTGGCTTTATGCAGTCATCATATCTAAGGACTAGTAAGCTGCAATCTATTACAATTTTGGCTTTGGGCTTAGATATGCTTTATGAAAAGACTAAAAGACACTTCTGGATTTTTCAGGAATTGCAGGTTCAAGCTACAAATATGGAGATCATGTGAGGTACCAGTGCTTTGTGTGAGGGATCAGAGGCACAAACTAATGTGGGGGGAAACTGAGTTTCTGTGGTAATGGCATAAAAAATTTAATAAGTAAACACTAATTCTACAAGGTCTCAGTTTGCTCTACATCCCCGTAATCTTGCCTCCTGTGTGACAGAGGCACTTCAAATCAGCTTATACAACCCTTTAAACTCCACAAATTCCTACATTAGTGGTGGCATTTGACTTATGCGGAAGCCCAACATTCCCTGACAAGTTAACAATGACAACTGGAAGCATAAGCAACAAGGGAGCGGACTCTTCTCTAAACCTCTGCTGCCTTCACACTCCAAAGAAGAGAACAGCCAATGGGAAGATCTTCACCCAGATCTTATGGGACATTGAGAAATTATCCTCCCCTTCCATCTATAGGAAACCTGAACTAAATATAGCACTGGTTATGTTATTACTTGCCCAAGGGTCTAGTAAATGGGTTCCTGCTTGAAATAATGGAGGACAGGGAACAAAACACTGAACCCTCCAGGCCTTTATAGTATGATCTAGTAAGTCACAAGGTCACACAAGTCATAAGTAAACATCCCCAAACTGACTCATTATCCCCGATACTAAATATTGCATTAATTCCAAAATATTAGTTGCCATACAGACAGATCTTTTATCCCCGATGATACAAGATTGGTGCACTCCTGTTCACCAAAAACACCTTCAGCACCAGCATGCAGACAAGTTTCATATTTCTTCTTCATTTTAATGTCTTATCAACTGCCCAGTAAAAAACGATTTCTCTGGCCATAAACTATTTTTGTAATGCATACTCCCAAGCAACATATTTTCCAGCATACTGGAAGATTTATTAGATTGAAGCTACTCTGAAGTGTTCATCTACATTTATCAGTCACAAGTAATGTTTGAACCTTGATCACATCAGATATATAATCAGTACTTTACCTGTACAATACAGAAGTCACAGGTTAGGGTCCATTCATACAGGCATATGCATATTTTCTGCATGTTCTTGTTGGCAGGAGATCCTGCCAAATATACACATCTAAAGCCCTAGCATTTAGGTGTGTACAGCGTTTACACATATACAGTTATTCATTCATTTAAAAGAGTAGCTACATGTTTATGTGTGTTTAGTCGCATTTATACACATTTATGCACAATTCCAGGTAAAATATGCAGATGTGTGTGGCCCTGGATGCAGAGGTGTCCTGCTCTTTTCATCAAAGCTAAACACAGCTTACATTTTGGCAGGTATGCGCAGTTGTGTGTATAGGCTCATTATTTACTATACTGCTGTGCACAGTGCATATCTTAACACAGTGTTTTCTGCCTGTGTCAATGAGCCCCTAGAAACACCACAGGGGATACAAATCAACCAATGTTACTGACACAGGTTAAAGTGGAACTGTACGTACAAACAAAAATGTGAACAGGCGGGTTTTTTTTTTTTTAATGCAGAAAAGACATACTATCGTGGGAATACAATAAAGCACTACTGACAGTTTTCTGGCATTATGGCCCTACAAAATGACCTGAGCCAGAGTAAAAAGTGCCTATCATCCGTTTTGGTAACTTACAGTGCCTTGAAAAAGTATTCATACCCCTTGAAATTTTCCACATTTTGTCATGTTACAATCAAAAACGCTAATGTATTTTATTGGGAGTTTATGTGAAGTGGAAGAAAAATTACAAATGGTTTTCTATATTTTTTACAAATAGATATCTGAAAAGTGTGGCATGCATTTGTATTCAGCTCCCTTTACTCTGATAGAACCAACTGCCTTCAGAAGTCACCCAATTATTAAATAGAGTCTACCTGTGTGTAATTTAATCCCAAGCTTTGAACATCTCAGGGAGCAGTATTCAATCCATCATCAGAAAATGGAAAGAGTATGGTACAACTACAAACCTACCAAGACATGGCCGTCCTCCTAATCTGACAGGCCGGGCAAGGAGAACATTAACCGCTAGCCTACAGGGCACTTATACCCCCTTCCTGCCCAGGACAATTTCCAGCTTTCAGCGCTGTCGCAATTTGAATGACAATTGCGCATTCAAACAACACTGTACCCATATGAAATTTTTACCATTTTTTTGTGACAGATAGAGCTTTATTTTGGTGGTATTTAATCACCTCTGGGTTTTTTATTTTTTCTTAAACAAACCAAAAACCACTGAAAATTTTGAAAAAAAAAGTTTTTTTCTTAGTTTTTGTTATAACATTTTGTAAATAAGTGATTTTTCTCCTTCACTGATGTGCGCTAATGAGGCTGCACTGATGGACACTGATAGGTGGCACTGATGAGGAGGCACTGGTAGGTGGCACTTATGGGCATTGACAGGTATCACTGATGGGCACTGATAGGCAGCACTGATACATGACACTGATAGGCGGCACTGACTGGCACTGACAGGTGGCACTGATGTGCACTGATAGGTGCACTGATGGGTGACACTGAAAGGCAGCTCAGATGGGCACTGATATGTGGCATTGATGTGCACTGGTAGGCACTAATATGTGGCATTGATGTGGCAATGATGGGCACTGGCACGAGGCACTGATGAGCACTGGCATAAGGCACTGATGGATACTGACAGGTGGCACTGCTCGGGCTACACTGATCATCAGTGCCCTGATGATCAGTGTACATGTCCCCTCAGCGGAAAGCCGATTACCAGCTCTCCTCTCCTCTCGTGCTGTCAGTGTGACAGCTCGAGAGGAGAGAAATGCCGATAACTGGCATTTCCGTTTACATGTGATCAGCTGTGATTGGACACAGCTGATCACATGACCGAGCCGACATCTTCGGCTCTTTCCGTGATCAGTGATCCGCTGTGTCCGAGGGACACAGCGCACCGCCGATCGCCACACTGCGCACTCCCTGAGCTGCGCATGCGCAGCGAGAATGGGAGGACATCATATGACGTCCTCCCAGAACGAGAGAACCACCTTGCGTCCGTCATATTACTATATGGCGGGCGGAAGGTAGTTAATCAGAGAAGCAGACAAGAGGCCCATGGTAACTCTGGAGGAGCTGCAGAGAACCACAGCTCTTGTGGGAGAATCTGTCCACAGGACAACTATTAGTCTGGTATTAATCTGGTATTTATGGAAGAGTGGCAAAAAGAAAGCCATTGTTGAAAGAAAGCCATGAGAAGTCCCGTTTGCAGTTTTGCAAGAAGCTATGTGGGGGACACAGCAAACGTGGGGCTCTGGTCAGATGAGACCAAAATTTAACTTTGTGGCCCAAAAGCAAAACGCTATGTGTTTGCGGAAAGCTAACACTGCACATCACCATGAACACACCACCCCCACCGTGAAACATGGTGGTGGCAGCATCATGTTGTGGGGATGCTTTTCTTTAGCAGGGACAGGAAAGCTGGTCAGAGTTGATGGGAAGATGGATGGAGCCAAATACAGGACAATTTTAGATGAAAACCTGTTAGAGTCTGCAAAAGACGTGAGACTGGGGCGGAAGTTCCCCTTTCAGCAGGGCAACAACCCTAAATATACGGCCAGAGCTACAATGGAATGGTTTAGATCAGGGGTGGGCAAACTGCGGCTCTCCAGCTGTTGCAGGACTACAAGTTCTGAGTCATGCTTCTAACTTCCGGTCTTTACAATGCCTCATGGGAAATATAGTTCCACAACAGCAGTAGGGCCGCAGTTTGCCCACCCCTGATTTAGATCAAAGCATATTTATGTGTTAGAATGGCCCGGTCAGACTTAAATCCAATTGAAAATCTGTGGCAAGACCTGAAAATTGCTCTCCATCCAATCTGACAGAGCTTGAGCTATTTTGCAAAGAAGAATGGGCAAAAATGTTCCTCTCTAGATGTGCAAAGCTGGTAGAGACATCCCCAAAAAGTCTTGCAGCTGTAATTACAGTGAAAGGTGGTTTTACAAAGTATTGACTCCGGGGGCTGAATACAAATGCATGACACACTTTTCACATATTTATTTGTAAAAAATGTTGAAAACCACTTATCATATTTCCTTCACATCAGAATTATGTGCCACTTTTGTGTTGGTCTATCACATAAAATCCCAATAAAATACATTTATGTTTTTGGTTGTAACATGACAAAATGTGGAAAATTTCAAGGGGTATGAATACTTTTTCAAGACACTGTAACTGTTATGTATGAAAGATTCAGGTAGTTCTTAATAGCCCTACTTTTACAAAGTGGCACGAATAACGCAGCAAATTAAAAATCATAGATAATGAAACTGGAGCTAATTAAAACTTACTTTAACTTGGTGTATAGAGACAGGCAGAGTGCCTGTCTCTGTCCCAGTGTAGCAGAGCATATTTGCTGCTGTTACCCTCTCCCATCACTGGTTGTTAAGGATGCTGTCACAGTTGACAGCCACCTAGCAACCAGTGATGCTGCAGTGGGCACAGCCTGAAGGGGAGCTGAGACAATAGCTCCCCTTCAGGTTTCATCTCACTGATGGGAGAATTAGGGCCTGTGAATCCCATCAGATTCCGCCCCTCACAGGGAATGAACTCCTGCAACAGAAAATGGGGGAAAATGGTACCTAGAAGAAGACTGGCCAAAGATGACAGTGGCTGGTGAGGACGTTCTATAGTTGTTATAGTACAGTTTTAATTTAAATGAATCAATGTTTGCTGCATAACGTCTAGTGAAGAAAACTTGCAGTAAAAAATAGTATGTGTGAGGAACATTATATCCCACTGTGTGACAGTTATTATAACTCAGAAGCACTGCATCTCCCTGTGTGACAGGTATTATAACTGAGGAACATTACATCCCACTGTGTGACAGTTATTACAACTCAGAAGCACTGCATCTCCCTGTGTGACAGGTATTATAACTGAGGAACATTACATCCCACTGTGTGACAGTTATCACTGAGAAGCACTGTGTCTGACTGTTACAGTTATCACTAAAAGCACTGAATCTCATTTTGTGACAGTTATTAGAACTGAAAAGAGCACTGCATTTCATTGCATGTGAGTTAGTAATCATTGAGAAGTATTGCATCTCACCGTGTAACAAATATTGTAACCGAGGAGCACTGCATCTCACCGCGTAACAAATATTGTAACCGACGGAGCACCGCATCTCACCGCGTAACAAATATTGTAACCGACGAGCACCGCATCTCACCGCGTAACAAATATTGTAACCGACGAGCACCGCATCTCACCGCGTAACAAATATTGTAACCGACGAGCACCGCATCTCACCATCTTACTGCGTAACAAATATTGTAACCGACGAGCACCGCATCTCACCGCGTAACAAATATTGTAACACGACGAAATATTGTAACCGCACCGCATCTCACCGTGTAACAAATATTGTAACCGAGGAGCACTGCATCTCACCGTGTAACAAATATTGTAACCGAGGAGCACTGCATCTCACCGTGTAACAAATATTGTAACCAAGGAGCACTGCATCTCACCCTGTAACAAATATTGTAACTGAGGAGCACTGCATGACAGTTAATATAATCAAGGAACACTGCATCTCACTGCATGACAGTTATTATAATCGAGGAACACTACATCTCACTGTGGTGACAGTTATTGTTACTGAGCAGCACTGTTTGTGACAGTTGTCAATCACTGCATCTTACCATATAATTAGAAAACACTGTACCTTGCAGTGTGACAGTTAGTACAACTGAGAAGCACTGCATCTCACTGTGTGACAGTTATTGTAACTGAGAAGCAGTATATCTCACTGTGTAACAGACATTGTAACTGAGGAGCATCACATTTCATTTTGACAGTTATTACCACTGAAGAGCATTGCTCTTAATTGTGTGACAGCTATTATCACTGAAGAACACACATGTATTGGTGATCAGTGCAGGGAGGTGATCAGGAAGGTGATTAGTGCAGTGAGCCCTCTGCAGGAACAATTGCCAAAATCCTGGAAGTGTCCCTGACAAATCTGCATATAGCAGGACTGAGATGGAGAGGCACAGCTTTAGCCATGTGCTGACCAGGTATAATGATCACGGACGTGTACCAGATCAGACTTGTACACTCCAGGTGCCACATGGGCACAGGCTAGGTTGTCAGCCACTATCAGAGCCCAGGTCCCCAGCTGTGTTCCCTATACAGTCCGCAGAACACACAAAGGGCAGTGCTCACCTCTCACTGGAGTCCCCGGGGCAGAGTCTGAGCACAGGGCTGGCAGGAGGCGACCAGAGCGGAGTGCATGATGCGGCCAGACAGAGTAGAGATCATCCACAGAGAGCAGAGTGCCCAACACTGAGTGGAGAGAACTGCAACAATCAGCCCCATTCACTGGAATGAGAAGAATGTGCGCCACCCCGGGTCCTAGTGCCTGGACTGTGGGACTGCTGCCTGCACTGGGTCCTAGTGCCTGGACTGTCTTGCTGCTGCCTGCACTGGGTCCTAGTGCCTGGACTATAACAATTAATGGCTCAGCCACATGCCTGCAAAAATTCAGTGCGTTTTTGTGCTCTGCGGGAATCTGAACAATTTTGCACACATTCCCACAATGAACAAAACACATGCATCGCTTTTGCAGGCACATGGCAGTGCTATTAATTCTTAATGGCTCCCACACACACCTCACCTTAATGTAAGCACAAAATTGTGCACCAAAACGCATGGTAACAAAGTACTATGCTTTTTGCTGCAGCACCATTTAAAAAAAAAAGGTGCTTGCATTTCTTTAGTGCAAATTTTGTACGTAGGGTAGCCCTAAATGCGATGCACAAAAAACATGCACACACTGTTATATCTATCTAGGTGTGAATGAAGCCTCAGACTGCTGCCTGCACTGGGTCCTAGTGACTGCACTGTGTGACTACTGCCTGTACTCGGTACAGGTGCCTGCTTGTACTGGGTCCTAGTACCAGGACTGTGAGATTGTTGCTGCCTTGATTCCTAGTGCCTGGACAGTGTAACTGTTCCCTGCAATAGGTCCTAGTGCCTGGGCTGTATGCACTGGGTCCTAGTGCCAGTGTAGCAGTAAAAATGAGTATCCCTGTCTACAGCGCATGTGTGGATTCCTGCACATGCCATCAAGTGATTGTGATGTTTCAATGAGAGGAGTGGCTGTCTTGAATCATCTGTTCATTACTTGGATACATTTTATAGTAAAGGGGAGAGAAAGGGATGTTTTATCCTCTCCTCTCTACCCTTAGGCAGCCTACACTTCTGGAGCTAAAAGAATGATTTCTCCCTCTCTCTCCACCCATGGCAGCCTGCACCCCACAATGTAGTTTCCCTTTTTGATAAATATGAAAATGGGCACTGGCTGTGATTCAAGGAGGGAGAAACTGCCCATTCCACCACGTTTCACAGCGTAGTACGTGACAATACATTAATGTGCATTGCAGTGGTCTCCTGCAAAACAGTGCATGCCAACAAACTGTGTTAGGGTGCAATTCAAATTTATGGCATCTCATCACACCAAAAACATGTAACATTTATTTCATTGCATTTGGAGTAAAGCCTATGGTAATGTAGGCACTACTGAAAAAAAATGCTGTGAATGGGCTCTTAGGTTTCATAATTTGGTCAAATAAACAGGAAACCTGATTTGCCATCATATGGGAACAGTTACACTTTTGCAGCAAATTTTAGGGTCCATGTACAGCTATGCGTTGTGGTAAGGCGCCCACTACCGCAACACACAATATATGAACTGGGGTGACTTTTGAATGGCACCCCAACACACTGTTCAGGAACACAAGTGGTGGCACGCTGTGTTTCAAATGTTAGGACATGCACGAACCATTAATGCAGTGTAAAATTGTAAACATGCCCCTAAAAATTGATATCCCCTCCCTAACATGGCCTGTGAAATCTGGTATCCTCTCAATAACAAGGTGCACCAAAGT